TATTTCAATATATATATATATATTTCATACAGAATTTTTTTTAAATCCCAAGAAGATTCAGTTGCCATAATACAGTTGGATTTATCCTCTCTGTTCCAACAATGGGAATTATAATCTCAGTGCTGGACTGGCCCATAATGCCAAGACATTGATCTTGGCACTTCGTCTGAACCAGGAGCCTAGATTTTTATGTGGACAGTCCTCTGTAGACACCCAATTAGTCAGTCTCTTGCCACATGCTTTGACATTCTTGGGAAATAAAATACAGAAGGATACAATTGAGCACATGGGGTAAAGCTTAGGACTCTGGAGTCAAAACATGAATTTGAGACCAGCCCTAAAGACCAGTTAGGGGACCTGGATTGCACATGGCAGACAGTGGTTTGATTCCTGGCCCCAGTGGCTTAAAAATACACCCCAGGCACATGTTTATGTGTATATACTCAAAATCCTGATGGGATGGTGAAATGGAGAAGATGAGATTACAACATGACCACAGCCCATTGGGGGGTTGCTTTCTCCTCTGTCTCTGTCTATCTGGTGAGTGCACGCACCTTCTGGCAATTAAAGAAAAAAAAAAAAAGTCCTATCCTGATACTTTCTACCTACAAGAGTTTGGTTAAGCTATTGGGTTGTTGGAAAAGTCATGACACATTTTTGCATAAACAAACACAGAAAAATATGTCATGACTTCCCCGACAACCTAATATTTACCTTCTCTATACCTTAGTTATAAAATAAACAGTTCCTCCCTGATGAGAAGGACCAAATGAAAACATGCATGTATAGCATTTAATGAAGAATCTGGTACATTATGAGCAATCAGTAAATGTTAGAAGTTATAATAATCATATATGAATAGACATCAAGTCAGATAAACTGTTAAAACTCATTACAGGTTTTTAAATAAAGAAATACAGCCTTGCTATTTTTTTTTAAGTATTGCCTCTAGGAGTTGCTTTAATGAATTGCTAGAAAGGAGTGATTTATAAGTACCATATTGTTGGAATGCAAATAGATACTTCAAAGAGGAGAAAAGTAACTTGTTTTCTTGAGTGGGATAAATATTCCCCTTGGGATCTTGTTTACAAACTCAAATATTTTGTAAGCAAATAGTACTAAGATAAACCCCAACCCTTATTTGGGAAAATGATCACAAAACTGTATTCTGAGCTTTGAGTAAATGAGGAATTTACCCTACAAAAACGGAGCCATTGCCCAAACGAAATGACCTAATTTCAAAAGCACAAGTGAAAAATGTCAGTCTTAACATTTTTCCTTTTACATATGTTCATTCTAATGCTGCAAAATATGGGGTAATTGAGGGTCCTGGAGTCACATCCCAAGGTCTCCCTGTGCCCGTGATCCTGGCTGGTTGAGGCTGGGAAAAGGATCACAGCATGAAGACCCTGTTGTGGGGGGTCTCTCTTTCTCTCTGAATAAATAAATAAATCTAAAAATATATATTGGGGTGGGCCAGCAAGTGGAATTGTGGCTAAGATGCTAGAGTCCCTATAAGGCCAACCACAGTTCGAGTCTGGGACCCAGCAGATTGAAAATCACTCTGGGGACATCCCTAGAAGAAAATGGAGGAGAAAGGACTGTGGCATGGCTATCCCTGTGGTGGAGGTGTGGGCGATTTTTCACTTTCCCCCTCTCTCTCTCTCTCTGGCAAACACATATACCCTATACCAAAAACTTAAAATATTTATTATATATATTATATATAATACGCATATACAGACACATATATATACACACATTATATGCATATATATATGTGTGTGTGTGGCATGTCTGTATGTGTGTGACGAATATAGTCCATTTTTAATTATTCGTGTGTGGAGTATCCAAGGCAGATACCAAATCAACCTGTGTTTCTTTCTTTCTGTTCTATCTGCCCTTTCTCTCTCCTGCCCCCAACATACATATATATACATTAACAGGCACACTTACCCAATTCATGAACATCTTTACACACATACGCACACTTGTAGGCACTCAAATATTGACAACACACAGATATGCACATTCTCTCTCCGTCTCTCTGTCTCGCTCTCTCACACACACCACAATTTGCCCAAAGCAAGCAGAGCCCAAAACTGCCTGTTCTGGGGTTACAGAAAAATCTAGTAGTCCCTCAGAAATAGCATCTCTTTGTTTCCTTTCTTCCCTTCTTGTAGGTTTCCCTTTCTTGAATATTAAACAGTTGCGGGAAGGGAAAGAAAGGAGGAAAGAAGGAGAGGAAACCATGGTCTATACCCCAGCCTAGCGGTGCAGGCTCTGAGAAGCAGCAGGCTCAGATCCTTGTGTGCTGGCATCTCTCCTGCCATTTTACTGAAACTTTGGGGTGTTTTTCTCTCTGCAGCACCCACATTCCCTCCCTTTCTGCCAAAGCTCCATGTAGTGACAGAGTGAGAGGCTGGTGGATTGTGGGAAGGGAAATGCAGCTAGGTAGCCTCAGGGCTGAGTTACAACTCCCCCTCCAGGTGCAGGGGGGAGAGAAATCAGGCCACAGAGATCCCAGTGCTGACCCTCCCACATACATAGAGCAGCTGCACACACAGAGAGCCATGCACCCT